AAGGCTGTAAATCTTCATCTATTTTCACCTGTAAATATGCTTTCTGTATATCTATCAAATATGTGCTCGTCGTATACTTGCGTCGCCACTTTCTTAATGTTGCTCCGCATGCCAATGGATCTGATTGTTCATTTGGTCTGCTCTTAATTAACATGTTGAGTTGTTTCAAGTTCAATACTGGACGTATTGGAGTTGTTAATCTATGTAATTGAATTTGTGGTATTATTGTGTAAGTTGTTTGAGGAAAATCTGGTTTACATAGTTTAATATATTTCTGTATTATCCACAATTCTATGTCATCTTTGAACATGCGCGTCTGTTGTTTATCTAATCCTTGTAGTTGTTGTCTACAGAAAGGTACACGAATGACTTTGTCAGATGATTCACCATTAATCCATTTCCATCGAACACTCCATTCATGTCTTATAGCTGTGAAGTCACTCTCTTCTATAACTGCACTTTTTTCTCCTACTATCACACAAGCATCACTCCCTTGTACATCATTATCTTTCCGCATATACTTCAATGATCCAACTGTATCACAACGTAATACGTTGAACGTATTAAACGCATGCTTGGGGTCCCATAGTGCGTCCTATCAGGGGTCTCATTAGGATCGTGATTTAGTCTTCTAATGTATACCTCCCATGGTTTATCTGTGAGACAAAGCCCCATAAATTCAAGGATTTCCCGATAAGGCAATCTTAGTAGTCGTGCTTGACCCTCAAATTTCGATCGCCACTCCTAAAAAGTCTGAGATTTCGGGTTATACGGGACAATAGCTTTAGTAATGGCTATCGCCCTTCCCATTTCCGAATATGCACTAGTACTGCTATTCTTCATTTGCAATATCTCATTTTGTAGCTCTATCAACTGAGATTGGACGTTCTCATCCAGCTTTCTGACTCTCTGCTGCTCCATTGATAGCCTATCAATGATAGGTCTTGTCCTAAGTTGTCCGCTTCTTGTAGGCCTCTTCTCTCTCCTTCATGTTGACGTTGTTGCTCTTCACCTTCTTGTAAACTCCGTTGCTCCTCATCTTCTCGCACATGTTGATCTTCAGTAAGCCACCATCAGGACCGTTCTGGTTATCCTCAGCGGGGTTCTCTCCTTGACCATTGACCATTATCTGGGCACCACGTGTTGTGTACCTGGGAACTCAAGAGCACTATGGATTCATCCTCAAGTACCTTCATGTCTGTGTTCCTCATACATATCCAGACTTCATCCAGCTCGTGGCCTTCAATAGTCTCCCACGTTTCAGGAGCCCTACACAGTAATCCCTTCGAGATCAGCTTCCAATAGAAGAGCAAACTTCGAAGCATTCTTGAAATATGAGGCATGTCCTCGAAGGGTTCTCCTTTTCTCTGTCATTTTTCTCTAATAGTACGATTACATTTCCCCGCGGTATTATTGGTTCGTGGACCTGAGCGCGCGTTACTCATCACTCGCCGCGGAGATGCTACTCCTTCAAGACAACGGGTGCGGTTAGTGTAGTTATCTAATCATCAGACATCCCCCTTCAAATTAGGAATTACAGGACTTCCTTCAGGAAGTAGTGTGGACTACACCGTGCAGTCGTGTGTTGTAACGACTTTGTCATGCATTGGGTGTTTGTGCGTATCGCCACAAGTTTTTCATTTCAACCTCAGACACTTCACTTGAACTGATGACTCAATATTTATATTAATGGTAAGGAACTATCTGACGCTCAAAAGGGGGCGCGAACATGATAATTTCATGGGTGCACTATGAGACGCATCTTCGTTCGCGGCTAAAATGTTCGATATCACTTGGCCCATAGTCCATGGGGCCGATATGCCACAACTGCCATCACTCGCGACATAGATCTCAGTTTCATCTTAAAGGAACGCAAGCCGAACTGTATCTTTGAGAAGACCCGTGTAGTAAGAGGGGAACTTCCGAGCCTTCGCCGCAAAATAAGCTACTACGCGAACCTTCAAAGGCGGTCAGCCCATGTCCTTGGGCAAACTCAGCCAATCGTATAGCTTGAAAACTCAGAATGAAGATAAATGCGGCTAGGGAATCTTACCGAATATCCTCGAGGAAGAATGGGACTCAGTAAGGAGTCGGATATGACTTTTTTGCCGCCCACGTAGGACATGGAGTAGTTGTCGGGTAAGTGGGACATGGAGTAGTTGTCGGGTAAGTGGGACTTGGAGTAGTGGTAGTCGGGCATGGTGGGTATGTACTACTGGACGTAGTCGTAGTCATCTTTGTGGTGGTCGTAGTAGTTTTTGTAGTTGTAGGATATGGGGTAGTGGTAGGAGGCTGTGTCGGACACGGTGTAGTAGTAGGAGGCTGTGTCGGACAGGGTGTAGTAGTAGGAGGCTGTGTCGGACACGGTGTAGTAGTAGGAGGCTGTGTCGGACAGGGTGTAGTAGTAGGAGGCTGTGTCGGACACGGTGTAGTAGTAGGAGGCTGTGTCGGACAGGGTGTAGTAGTAGGAGGCTGTGTCGGACACGGTGTAGTAGTAGGAGGCTGTGTCGGACTGGGTGTAGTAGTAGGAGGCTGTGTCGGACACGGTGTAGTAGTAGGAGGCTGTGTCGGGCACGGTGTAGTAGTAGGAGGCTGTGTCGGACAGGGTGAAGTGGTAGGAGGCTGTGTCGGGCACGGAGTAGTGGTAGAAGGCGGAGCCGCCGTGGTCACGTGCTTAGAAGGACAGGGTACAGGGTACTTCTCTGGACACTCGCTTATTCCATCAAAATAGCAGATATCATCA